CCCGGTTTTAAGGGTCATGGGCAAGTATTCAGGGCCCTAAGCCCTAAATCCTAAACCCTAAAACCCTAAACCCTACACCCTAAAATCCTAAACCCTAAACCCTGAAGCCTACACCCGAAACCCTGAACTGCAGTCAGTTTCTAGAGTTTTGCAGCCCCAAGCGCCCATGCCGTCAACCCGACGTCCACAAAGTTCTACGAATCGAGCCTATGTCGGCCCTACTTTGATGCATTTTGCGGTTTAGGAGTTTCGAGTTGAGAATTTAGGGTTTATAGGATTAAGGCTCTAGCTTAAACCCGAAACCCAAAGCCCTAAACCCCTAAACCCTAATCCCCAAAACCCTTAACGTTAAAATCCTAAACCCTAAACCCTAAACCCTAAAGCCATTTTGGCTCAAGGCCTGGGGTTCGTTCTCGCAGGCGAGGCTGACTTAGGTGATCGCCATCTGGGAGGTTCGGCTTCTCCTCTTCTACGTACCGATCCGGCGGAAGAACGACCAGGTCGGCGGTTGCTGAAGGCCCTGGGGTTGCTCGAGGGGGTGATTCGGGAGATTGAGCACGGGAGCAGGGGAGGATGGCTGGGCAGTTGCAGTTGGGAAGAACAGGGGCCGTGCCGGGCGAGGGTTCCCAGCTACCGCGGCTCCCTGACACGTCGGAGGAGGATGCCAGCCCCAAGAGGCGTCGGGCTGGCGAGCTCGGGGCGGGATTGTCTGCCGGCCGCAAGAAGAACAAGGCGCCTGGCCAGGCGTTCGATTGGGACGCGCTCAAGCAGCTCTTGTGCGAGCAGAAGGACCAGATCGTAGGGGAAACCAGAGCACAGGCTCACGACATGGTCAAGGCGTTGGACGCTAAGGTGGGGTGCAAGTTCGCAGCCATGGACGACAAAATGTGCTCTGTCTCGGAGCGGTTGAAGAGTGTGGAGGATAAGCTGGCTCGATTGGAGGAAGCACCCCGCTGGCGTGGAGCGGGCGACGCAGAGGAGCGACGCCGAAGCACACTGGTGATTGGGGGGTGGAACATGGATACCCCTCGCCGCACCATACTTGCCGAGGTGGACGAGGCACTGGACAAGCTTGACCTCACCAGGTTCACCGATGCTAAGGCCTTCACCACGGGACCGCGCAGAAGCGTGGCACTCTTGAGCTTCGAGCTGCGCCCGGGAGAATCAGAAGGGGACCGTCGGAAGCGCATGCATGAGCTTGTGGCCACGGTTGCAGAGGCAAAGCCCCACACATCCCAGAAGAAGCGCATGTGGATCAGCTACTCCAGGACCAAGGCGGAAAGAGAAATCGCAGCACATTGTGCGTGGGTGAAACGCACCTTGGCCAGCTTCAACCAGGAACTACTACACCACCTGGATGCAGAGTACAATACCGGCACAGTTTGGCTTGGGGAAGCAGTTGTCGCCAGCACGACGAGAACGCCGCCTGAAGGGTTGCCAGAGGGAGCCTTGCTTTGGGACGACAAGAGGGTTGGGATCAAGCCCTGGATCAACATCGACGGGATTGCCAGGTTCAGTGGGATTACCCAGGTGGACCTTAGGGCGGGCTTTGCAGAACACCAACGCTGAGAACGGGACGCCTGCGAGGCGGATTTGCATGGAATTCAGGAGCCGGAACGAGCACTCCCGAACACCGAGGAGGCACCTTGCTCCACAGATCTACAGCACAGCTCTTTGGAAGCCGTGGGCGAGTTGCGAGCGCCACGGAGTCCACAGCTTTCACCGCCGACAGTGACCTTTCCTTTCGTGGGCTGGAACCTAGGAGGAGCCTCGGTTACCGACTACCCTCAGGTTGTGGCCGACGTCCTTCGGAAACTACCGCCCCACTCCCTCCTCTCCTTCCAAGAAGTCCTCAGGAGCTCGCCTGGCTGGCAGACGGAAACCAGCAACGGCTGGACAATGATACACCATCGAGGCGACGAAGTGTGGCGGGGCACCGGGATTGCCTTTAGATCCTCCTGCTGGAAGATCATGCGGAAAAAAGCCACCTCGCGAGGGATTTGGATCCGCTTGCGTGGGGTTCAAGGGGTTCAGCTGTGGGTCGGCACGGCGCACTTCACACCGGGTTGCACACAGCCTCAGCATGCCAGGGAAGTACATGATCATCTGGCAGGCCTCCAGGCGACGACCTTGCCAGTGCTACTTTCTTGTGACCTGAATGCTGAAATTTCGTGGGGCAGGGACCAGGACGGCCTTTGCCGAGCAGTTGGAACCAATGGGAAAACTGACGAGTTCCTGGCTCAGTGTAGCCGTAGGAGACTTGATGCTATCCCGCCGCACCCCCAGGACTACGATACTCCTACCAGCAGACCGCGCCAGGCCAACAGGGTTGGGAAGCAGATTGATTGTATGCTGGCCACGACAGGGGTGGCGACCAGGGTTGAGATTCACAAGGACTCTTACATGACCGTTGGGACCGATCATGAACTACTCTCTACGGAGGTGACCCTCAGAGCCAGCAAAGGGGGAGAGCGCTACAGCACACAGCCAAGGGTTTGGATTGGAGGGCCGAAGCATGTCCCCGCCATCACGCAGGACCTGCTGGTCGAGATGGGGAAGGAATGCACTAGGCCGAGGCGGAGCACGGCCTACAGGGACCCACCCGAGGTCAAAGATGCCTTTCGGGAGGCCCGGGCTAAGCGGCTCCCAGCACTTTGGACTCTTGCTCGGAACCTCCGCAAAGGTGCTCGGAAAACCTGGGAACAACAGAGGCTCGACCGAGCGACTGCAGGGGACTGGGCTTTGCTCAAACAGATGCGACCAGTTAAGCATCAGGGGTGGGACGTCAACTTCGCGGATGCACAGGATGGCAGGGATCCACACAGGGTTGTGCATGAACACCTCCAAGGGATCTACACTACAGGGTTGGTCGTGCCACCGGCTGCTCCGTGGGAAGGTGACATTCAGCTGTTCTCCTTGGATGAGCTGCGCTGGGCTTTGCACAAGGGCAAATTCAATAAGGCTGTGGGGGTTGATGGGACGAGTCATGAGCTTTTACATGGGCTGTCTGAGACGCCGGGAGGACTAGAAGCACTCCTCGACTTCTACAATGGGGTCTACACCACAGCCCGAATCCCGGAGGACTGGAATGCGGCACTTATGATTGTCATCCCCAAAGACGAGTCGCCCACGGAACCATCGTCACTCCGGCCACTCGCAATGGGCAGTGCTGCGGCTAAGGTCTACAGCAGGCTACTCCTTGGTCGAACAGTCCCCTGGCTGACGGTTCAAGAAGGCGCCCAATGCAGTGGGGTTGGGAAACAGCCAGCAGAATACATCTTTGGCACGGCAAGGGTTATGGAGCTAGAGGCCGAGTGGCATAGAGGGATGGTTGCGGCTAAGATTGACATTCGCAAGGCCTTCGACATGCTCCACAGACCGGCACTGCTTCGGAGACTCAAACAGGCTATCGGGGACGGACCTACCTATCGTAGTTGGCAGGCCATGCTGAGTGATACCTCTGCAGTCTTGCAAACAGGATGGGGCAGTTCCCGACTACAGCTTGACCGAGGCATTAGGCAGGGCTCTGTCGAATCCCCGATACTCTTCGCTTGGTTAGCCTCGCTAATACTGCTCGATGTCAAGGCCAGCAGAGGTTGGGACAGCCGCCCCAAGCTCTTCCCGGAGTTGGGCTGCCAGGACCTCTTGTTCATGGACGACGGACTCATCTGGGCACACACTGCGGCTGAGGTCAGTCAACGGCTCCAAGAATGGGCCGACGAGTTGGAGATTCACGGGCTCATGCTGAACCCTAGCAAATGCAAAGCCTACTACTCGCCCCACTGCTCAACCTGCTTACCCATCCGAGTGCGTGGTCATCTCGTTCCCCGAGTCCAAACCTTGGAGGTCATGGGGGTACCTCTCCGAGTGGGGGCGACCAGCTCGGAACTACTTGCACCGTTGATTGCCCGGGGCCGAGATAAATTCTGGGCACTAAAACACCTCTTCAGAGCCCGCACGCCACTGACAGGTAGAATCAAGCTGCTGGACAAGATCATTGGTGGTACCTCCCTTTGGTGCCTGAGCGCACTTGCACCGGATGCATCGTCCTTGGCGCTCTTGAACAGCATGCAACTGCAATGTGTGGTGTGGGCCATGAGGGTTGGCAAACGCACTCAGGAAGGTTGGCTTCAGTACAAACAGAGGGCATTTCGCGGAGCCCGGCAGCTGGTCTGGAATGTACTAGGGAAGCGCTGGTCCACGGTGTGGTTGGAACGGTGGTGGAACTTCTCAGGGCACAGGGCACGGGGGCTTGACAGAGATGTAGTGCCGAACTCGTCGCTGATCGATGACTACAGGAACAGGGTTTGGTGGACAAGGGAACAAGACAGGGTTAAGGGCACACGTCACCCGAGGCACTTTCCGAAGCTCTCGAACCTTGAAAGGGACATGGACCAGGCGGCTGGGCTCAAACCTTGGAGAGGGGTCGCAAGGGACAGGGTTTTGTGGACAGAAAGACTACAGTGGTGGATTCGACTCATGGACCCGCCTTGGGCGAGCAACCGACAGGAACGTCTGCAGGGTTGAAGCAACAATGTTGTGGGCTTGTGAAGGTATCTCCATGCCTGAGTGCCCGCAGCGTGCAGGGCTGAAACTTTTGCTACTAACCGCGCGCCTTTCATGATGACCTATTTTCTTTGCTGGCCAACTGGCCTCGTCATGGTTCGGGTTGCCGCTTGGCCGATGACCCTGCCGGACCGTGGACCTATGGCGCCGCCCTACATGAACCTCTATGACGCAATGTACCACGCCGACCCCGCCGATCAATGCTCCGTGCAAACCACCGCCAACCCGGAAGACCTGGAAGACAGCGTCCTAATGCAGCACCTGCCACTCCAGGACTGGTTCCTCCTCCTGGAAGACCTTCGCAGAGGCCTGGAGGCTCTGACCAAGCAGGACCGTGCTGTAGCGGCAGTGCAACTCTTGAGGTGGCTGGACTTCACTGCCACTGATAGGCAACGGGGCTACCTCCTGGGACACATGGGAGGAAAGACGGCAGATCTGCTGGCTCTGCTGGTGTCCGCTCTGACCGACACTGGCATCGACCCACACGCCGTCGACGCAGCCTGGGGCACAACTTGGGTTTTGGAGATGCGCGCCCGGCTCCGGGCTCACATTCCCAAGCTAGCATGAGGGCTCTGACGACACCTGGAGGCGGCCCATGCGACTTGGAATGCCTTGCATCATGCTTTTCGGAAGACCGCCGCCGACGACTACCCCGCCCACTACCCCGGAACCGCTTGATGAGCCTGAACAGCCGGGAAGTGACGGCCTGCCAGGGAACAAACGAGATGCCTGGTGGTGGAACTCAGCTCTGCATCGAGCGACGTGCCGAGGATCACCAGACAGCTCCGACTGCCTCTCCGAGAGGGCTGCGCTGCCCTCAGCATGAACCTACAGATTCAGGAGGACGTGGACAGCGAAGCCAACACAACGCGGGTGGGACCGGCAGCCGCATCAGCACAAACCCACGCCGCGGAGACGGCGGGCTGCCCCTTGCCGCGACCGGCACCGGGAGACCTGGCAGCAGCGGGGCTCTCTATGCGTGACCTCGTCAGGCTATGGAATGGTTGGCAGGACGGCAGCCTTGACCTGGAGAACATCCGACGGCTCCACGGGCCGACCACCGCCGAGTTCGTACGAAACAACTGGGTAGACGGACCTGCCCAAGCACGCAACCTCCCCGACCTCTACGTCGACACTTCTGAAGGGAACGAGGCAAAGTCGGCCCAGGATGCTGACCAGCCGGGGACGAGGCAGCAACGGACGGGGACAATACCATGGCTGGAGAGATAGCGGGAGCAGGGAGTACTGCAACTGAGGCTGTCTCGGCTGCGGAACCACCACAAGCGGAACCGACTACGGGGGAAACGAAGCCTCCAGTTACAACGGCCGCTGCCGGAAGAGACCACGCCCACCTCGGCGACGATGACACGGCACTCCTCGCCCTGTTCGTCAAGCTCATACCGGTGATCCCGAAGGTGTTGGCGCCTGAGGTGCCCGTGGTGTGCGAGCCCACTGTACTGCAGTTGGCGACGGCATGGGTGGAGCACTTCTTGCGACAGGGCCGAGCCAACCTGCTGCTTGCGAGCAACTTGCTGGCGCTAGCAGAGCAGCGGGGATGTCGGGACTACATGAATGGCTGGGAGGACATCCTCCTCGAGCTGGGCCTGCACCCCGAGGCGGATATGACCAGGCTCGCGGAGCTCTCCCCGCAGGACGTGGAGGTGCTGAGATGGATTGAGGCGGAGATGTGGGACAACTACGTCGACGACCTCGAGGAACAAGTCGGCTGGGAAAGCCCGCAGGTCATGGACGCAAGGGGACAGCACAACATGCCACTCGGCGACCGGGTCTGGTGGCAAGCCCGAGCCCAACGAGGCGACTTCATCGTAACAGAGCCGGAGCGGAGCTCGCAAGAAACGGGGGATGAGCAGTCACTCATGGAACGACACAGGCGCCGCGACTCGAGCCGGGACAGCGATGGACCACGGGGGAGAGACCGACGACCGCGGACTGCGGGCAATACCAGGAGCACGCCCTCTACGGCTTCCGGATCGGCGCATGACAGATCGAGGACGACACCGAGGTACCTCAGGGAGGAACGCTGCACCACGGAAGTGCGGCGATTGGAGCCCAGGGGACCACCACCGAGGCCGACGGTGACAAGGGCAACGGTGCCTTCGGTCTCCATTGATGCGGCGACGGCCAGGTGGCTCTACTTTCTCGGGCTGCGCGACACGCCTGGCTCCACCCGCCTGGAACCAGCACTTCCGAGGACCCAGGAACAGCTGGACTGGATCAACGGATTGCATGAGCAGGACATGCCCTCGGTGATGACAGGCTTCCTCCGCGTCATGTCGATGCTGCTTGTGGAGATCAGCCAGCTGTTGGTTACTCACCAGGCGAGCTTCATGGTTACCGTGCCCCTTGATGAGGACGACGCTGATGACGTCATGTGGATGCAAGGAGCGCATCAGGTGCGCAAACGGCCCAAGCTGGAGCCAAAGCCACCAACAGCAGCAGACCTGGAGGAGGAGCACTTTGAGACCTTCCTCGCCCGGCAAGAGCAAGAAGAGCGAGAGAGGCAACAGGAGCAGAGGGAGCAGGAAGAGCTCGCGTGGGAGGCTGCGGAGTCCGCTCGAGCACAACGACTCTGGAGTGAAGTGCAAGCAGAGCAATATCGTGACTGGGAACAATGGGAAGTTCTCAACCAGCCGCCACCAGTACCGACGCGCCAAAGACTACGCCTCGTGGCGGAGGTGGCAGGTAGCACTTCGTCCTCTTCTACCTCAACGGTGCCTGTGGTCACGGAGTGCCTTTTGCCGCGGCTTCACAGAGGACGACTCAAACTGACCATCGAAATGGAGGAAGTCGGGGTCCCCATGTCACCCCCTCCTGGCGCACAAGTTGGGACAACTCCATTGCCGAGGGCATCGCCGAGACCACCATCGCCCTTGCCAACGGACACGAACACCAGTCAGGACCTGCACATGACTGAAGAAATGCTCCAAAGGGCCTATACCACGTGGCTGCAGGGGGGTTACACGGATGACGAGGTCAGGACGCTCTTTGGGGACGACACGTTGTCCACCTTCTTGGCTGAATGGGTGGTCAAGCAGGATGAGCAGGATGAGCTGCAGGAAGAGCTGCAGGACGGAGTGGTTGTGGAACAGGGTTTGGACCAAGCACAGGGTGAGGGCTCGGACAACCATGGCGGGAACGGCGACATCTACAACCGGCCTGAGGGGTAATTTTCCACCTGCCTCCAGAGGCTTTCCGACGGCTAACAGCAGAAGGAAAAAGGTGCTTAAAAAAAAAAAACCCTAAACCCTAAACCCTAGGCCCTAGGTCGTCTCCGTTTGGATGCAATTCCCTTTTTCAGGGTTTCTTAGGTCTGGGTCTGCCCTTTCGGCGTGTGAGATTTTTGATTTTAGGGTTTCGATTGCCGAGTTTGGGGTTTAGGGTTTAGGGGTTTAGGGTTTAGGGTTTCGGGTTTAGGGTTTAGGGGTGTTTGGAAGCTGCCAGTTTTCAGTTCCTTGGGTCTTGAGGTTTGTGAGTTTGGGTTTAGGCTTGATATCCATGGGCCCCATAGTAGTTCCTTTTTGGGGCTCATATTCAGAATCCCATAAGGTAATCCCAGAAGGAACTACTATGGGGCCTATGGATAGGGCTTTGGGGCTTAGGACCCGAAGCCCCAAATCCTGATCCCTGTGTCAGTAGGAAGCAGAAAGTTGGACGTGGTGGGAAGCTTGCCTCTCTGAAAAGAGCCGGTCGAAAAACCAAAGGCCAGCCCCGGTTGAGTACTACAAGTTTGCCAGCCCAGAGAACCCAATACCCCTTAAGTGAGGAATATATACCTTAAACTATAATATTAAGGCCCCTTTAATTTAAGGTATATTCCTTAATTAAGGGGTATTGGGTTCTCTGGGAGCTAGTGGACAAGACTGAGGAAGCTCCTGGGGCAGCATGCCGGAGGGACTTTTCACCAAGTCCGGCATGCCCAAACCCCCAAAAGGATCTAAAAATAGATCCTTTAAGGGGGGTTCCTATAAAGTACCCTGTAGTAGTTATGGTCCCGAATTAGGGGATCTATTTTTTAGATCCTTTTGGGGGTCTGGGTGCGCGAACTGCGCACCTCCTCGGCGGCCAAAAGCACCAAGAGCTCGAAACTGCAGAAGAAGGCGGAGGCGCAGCAGCAGCTTACCAGGCAGACAAAAGACCAGTACGCAAGCTGGCTTCAACAAGGCCGGCAAAAAAGGCATGCTCTTTGACCCTAAACCCTAAACCCTAAACCCTAAACCCTAAACCCTAAACCCTAAACCCTAAACCTAGAGCAGAAAGAAAGGCCATTCCGGGACCTTCCGGAAGAAGACAGCCCACAGGCAGACTTGGAAGAGTGGCTTGGAGAACTTTCTACTGTAGTGGCCTAAAATAATTACCACTATTTTTTGGGGGCTTCTTTGTTATAATTATAGTATAATGGGCCCCCAAACCCTATTCTAATTATTAAGGCCCCTATTTTACGGATGAATCCCTGCATGAATCAACACGACTTGAGGAAGATTCCCTACTTCGCAGGTAGAATGCGTCTTCACCCGCTAAGGTATGTTACTTTAGGGGCCTTATAAATTAGAATAGGGCCTCGGGGCCTATTATACTATAATTACAGAAAAGGAACTCCCAAAAGTAGTATTGGTAATTATTTAGGCCCCTACATAACTCGCAAAGTCTCGCAGGGGTTCTTCACTTGCAGAGGATCTGCTGAACTGGGAGGATTTGGGCTTCATGGGCCCTAGGAGCCTAAACCCCAAAGCCTACAAACCATGGATACTCTACAAATTCTATAGACAACCCTTAGCAACCTACCGAAGCAGGATATCCGATAAGGGTTCCTCAAATAGTTCCATGAACATAGGCAGGTTGTGGGGGCGTAAGGTAAGCCTCAACCCTACACCCTAAACCGTGTGCCCATAGGGGCAGAGGGTGTAGTGCCATCCGTCACCACGTTTCAACAAGAACCCTAAACCCCGAAAACAACCTTTTGCCCTGAAAGACACCAAAAAAGAACCCTAAACCCTAAACCCCCCGAAAAGAACCCTAAACCCTAAAACGGAACCCCAAACCCAAAACCCGTAAAAGGAACCTTAAACCCTGGAAGACCCATAGGTGACCCGTCAAAGTGTGAACGCAGCATTTTGGTGGAGCCCGGGGCTCGGAAAGTGGGCTTCGGTTTCACTGAAAGGACCTCCAGTTACTGCAGGGGCCTTTGACAACTAGAACAGGGTTTCATATGGCTTGAATCTAGAACCTGCTACTTTAAACAATCGGAGCCCATAGGGACTCATGTCGGTGCATCACAAACCAAAACTTGTTCTTCCTTATAATCAATATGGGCTTAGAATCTTCACTTTAATTTGGATTCAGGGTACACTTATATAAGGATTGTGGGTTTCGGGTGAGGGTTGTCATCCAGGCAAACTCTTGGAGTTTGAGCCTGTCTTGGTTTTTGCGCCAAAGAGACGTGACAACGACTGGACTGTAGCCCTTGACCGCAGAGCAAGGTAAGCCCCACAGACACCGAATCCCTCACGTCCTAAACCCAAATCCGAAACTCGAGATCCCCGCTTTCAGGTTCTTGGACCTGTCTGCTGGCCAGCTACAGGTCGGCCGTTGGCGGGGGTTTTTCAAAAAAGGGTTAAAAAAAAAGCCTTTCATGGGTTTAGGGTTTTGAAAGGGCCTAAAAGGCCTTCGAAGGGTTAGACCAGGGCTTCCCAAAAAGGGCTACTATAACGCATGCGATAAGGATTCCTAAAAGGCTCCTTTTCGGGTCCCTATGAGGCTCACTCTAGGGGTTGCTTTGAGGGTTACTACCGGGGGTACTACAAGGCTTAATTGCTACGAGGGTGGTTACTTACCAGGAGGGATGCTATGGGTGTTACTTTAACGGTTGTAGAAAGGGGCCTTCATGATTGAATAGGGTTCTGAGGGTTAGAAGGTTCTAAACGGGTTATGTGGGCTACTGTTAGAGGTGTGAACAGGGTTACTTGTGGGGTTTCGATGAGTGAATGAACAAAACCTAAAACCCTAAACCCTAAACCTTGTTAGGGCTCTTGGGTTGATGGGCTTAGGGGGAACATTAACGAATCCAAGAACCCTAAACCCTGAACCCCAAACCCTAAACCATAAACTCTGAACCCTAAACCGTAAACCCTAAGCCCCAACCCTGAAAAGGAGCCCTAACGTCAGCCCTGAGCCCCGAATTCCCCATGCGGACGGAACTGAACACCTAAACCCTGAATCCGTAAACCCTAAACCCTAAAGCCCTAAACTCCCTAAACCCGCAACCGTTGCTTTTGTTTGAGTTTAGGGATTTAGGGTTTAGGGTTCAGGGCTTCAGGGCTTAATACAGGGGCCTGAATCATTACCAATACCATTTGGGGGGCTCCTTAGTATAATCATAGTATACCATGCCCCAAAACCTTATTCTAATCATTAAGGCCCCTACACCCTAAACCCTTATGGTAGCCCTTATAGAACCCTGTCAGGAACCCTTTAAAGGAACCCTATTCTACCCCTTTTTTTAAGGCCCCTATACTCGGCCCTAAACCCTAAACCCTA